CTTCGAATCCTATTTGTAACAGTAATGTACCTGTATGCTGAATACATGAAATTTCTGAGTAAACAAACTCTGTTATTTTAAAGAAGTCTACTTATTTTTGTCTTTTGGGAGCATGATTTAAACCAAGATGTTTTAAGGAAGAGTAGATGTTTTTGGGCAACTGATAGAGACACTTTTGAAATTCTGCTATATTGATGTTTTTGTGTATTGGCATAGTTTTGTCTCTAGCACTTCAAAGTTTAACAGTTAAGCAATCTAACTGCCTTTCATGAACACTAGTGGATATTTACCACTAAGAAGGTTGACTCAAATGAGTTTTTAACTCTTCTCAGGGAGATTCCATATCCCAAAAGGTTATGGTGAATGCTTGTCCACAATGCCCTGCCTCATGCACACAGGAAGAACTGTTTAAAGCTGCAGACAATGTGGTCGCTGTTGCCCATTTTATCAAAAAATATTTAACCACTTGTGTTCCCTTTATTTTTATCTGTTTTATACTTATTTATGCAATGATTTTGACACAAAGATAAATATAAATGGTAAATGCCATTTTCCAAAAGGTTATGGCATCATTTTTTCCAAAAGGTTAAGATCTCAAAGGTCATCCTTTTTCAAAAATTAAATGGCAATTCAATATTTAAATAAATTAAAATGCATTCATGGGCCCACTCCAGTTGAGACCAGCAAGTAGATTCCAGTAAAGTAGCATGTACAGTGTAGCTCTATGAGTTGTTGTTAACTGCTGTCGTCAACTTTGATTCATGACAATCCTGTGATGAGAGACATTCAAGTCACCCTGTCATCAATAGCTCTGCTCAGATCTTGCAGATCGAAGGCTGTGGCCTCTTTGATTGAGTGTATCCATCTGGATACCCACATATCCCACTACATACAGGGAGCTTACTCCTAAGTGGAAGTGTAGCCATAGAAAATGAAACAAAAATAGCAATGCATGATACACGAGCTTCCAAAAGCTAGGAGGTTAAAGTGCTCGTGATAAAGTGACTTGACAAGTTAAAACTACCGACTGTCAGGGCAATTGCTTTTTCTTCAGCATTTCAAACCAAATGGGTTCAGAGGCATGTGTGGGTGTCTGCTGAAGCACTGGCACGCTCCCTTTCTGAGACATTATCACAATTCCTCCATTCAGTCATAGTCATCTTGTACTATTCCTGTTTTTCCATTCCCCTCCCCTAGATTTTGAGAAGCTGTGACTTTATTTTTGAAGTATAAAGAACATAAATTTTCTAAGTCCACATTCCTTTAATGAGATTTTGATGTGGTCAGTAACATATTGGGTCAGTAAACGAATCACTGCTCATCACGCCCTCATTATAAACCTTGCTGTGAGTGTCATTATTTTGACACCTTTCAAACTGAGTTGGAACTAGAGTACTTTCTTAACCATAATTTAAACAAATTAAAAGTACTATGGCAACATGGTGTTGATATATTGACAGCCAACCCCAATCATTGTGTATAATGGGGCTTGAGCATCCATGGCGGGTTCAGGAACCAAATTCTAGCAGGTGCCAAGGGCCCACAGTATAGGAAAACATTGGTTCAGGATGAGAAAACTATTTGAGGAGTATACTCCAATGTGTGGAGGAGGCTAACAATATTGAATAGCGAAAGTGATGAAGTAAGAGTTTTACATACAGCACTCTGTGGCAGTGCACTGTGAATTGTACAGTGGCACCCAGTTATTGACATATGCTGTGTAGTGTTACTGTTATTGTAGCTCAGCAAGTGCCTCAGGATTTTTCCGAGGTTTTTGATGGGTTTCAAGGTGAAGAGTCTGGGAGTGATCAGAATGATTTGCAGACAGATGAGGTCGATGTTTTGGATTCCAGTACACCTTCCTAGGCAACAAAAAGTGAAAGTTCCCTTGTGAAACGGCCTTGGGCTGATGAGGAGTTTTCTCAGGAAATTAGATTAGGTCTGAGAAGGGAAGGAGTAAGAAACAGACAAATGCAATATTCTCAGAGAATCTGAGATAAGACCTTGAAGGTCCAGTGTTCAGCATGATCTATGGGTTCCTGGATGGGCTTAAATTAGGTGGTTTGGGCTTTAAGATCTCAGAGGAGACAATGTTGCTAAAAGATGGTTTTCTTGTCTCTGCTCTCAAGTTCATGATTCAAGTTTGCTGTTCAGATTCATGTCTTTGTTCCTTGTAAGAGTTTGCCTTGTAAGAGTTTTCTGGTTTAAAGATTCATGTTCGGATTATTGCTGTGGATTCTGGCTCATGACTTTATGTACTTTGCTATTTTTGGATTACTGTATTTCCTGTGTTTGGATTATTGCTATTTTGTATGTTCTATTTTACAGACCCTTTTGGAAATGCCCCTTTCCTCTTTGTTCCTGCTTTCTTTAATAAACATTTTAAATAGTATTACTGGATTCTGGTGTAGTGCGGGGTGAAAAGGTGTTTCAGTGTTAGAGTGCAACAACTGTTCTGTATGGGAGGTGCATAGTTCTGGCATAGCATAATTCTACATGTCCATCTATACTCAATACTGAAAGGATGCTGTACTCACTCACCTGAGAATAAGCACCAATGGACTAGTACTGAGCAGCTTGTTCAGGGTTGTGCATTAAGAATTTTCTGGCACTTGAAAGGGTTTTTTTTTTCAAAGCATCCAATATACAACAGATTAACAGGTCTATCCCTCCAAAAAGGCACACTGATTTTGAAACAATGTGCAACAGGTCTAAGGTGCAGCAAACTAACACAGCTAAATGCAGAGGCATGTCTGTGGAAAGATGGACAAAACAATCAAGTGGGTGATTCATTCACCGGCTCATTGACTTTATTTATAGTCTGCCTTTTGTCTGAGGACTGGAACTCAAAACAGTTCACATTTTAAAACAAATGAACTATTGATAAACACATATCAAATACAGTTCCATTCCACTTGCCATTCAAAAGAACCCAAAGCAGGTTACAATGTTTTCATCTTCAAATCCACAAAGTAAACGTCAATGAAGTATTAAAGCAATAAAAAGAGATAAAACTATAAATTGACAAGATATTTCAGTAAAATCACTGGGGGAACAGAATACCTTAGCAATCAGGAAAATGCAGCACTGGGAGCTCACCATCTCAACAGAGAAGTTATTGTGGGAGGCAAAACATGATCTTTCACACTGGTTGCTTCACGGAAAAGCTATTCCTCACCTCAAGCGTGGACCATGTCATTGAATATATAATAAGGCACTTTTCTCATTAAATTTTGTCCTGAAATGAGCAGGAATGTGAAAACTTTGGCCCTCAGGTGTTTTGGACTTCAACTTCCACAATTCCTAACAGCCTCAGGCCCTTTCCTCCCCCCCACCCCCCCAGTGCCAGTGGGCTGGGAGGACCAAAATCTGGCTTGCAAGCCTCCTTCCTCTTTATTAATTCTGCGTTTATTTAATTTCCACTCCTTTCGTGTCACCTGCCACCCCTTCCCTGTTGCTCACCATGGCATATGTTCTGTATTAGAAACTAGAGCTGATGTGGTTTATCCAATGCAATTTTCTGAATCAGCACCTCAAACTGAATCTAAAGTTGACCAAAAACTGATTTGTAACACTTTTGGTAGTAATGTTGGAAAGTGGTCCTGGTCAGTGGTCTCTGGTCAAGAAGACCAGGAACCACTTGACCAGACTCTAGTCCCTGGTCAAATGGTTCCTGGTTAAAGTGGTCCTTGGTCAAGTCCTTCCAGGTGCTCCCTGGGCAAGTGACCCTGGTCAAAGTGCTCCCTGAGCAAGTTTTCCCTGGTCAAATTGTTCCTGGCCAAATGGTCCCTGGTCAATTTTTTTTGTCGTGTCAGGAGTGACTTGAGAAATTGCAAGTTGCTTCTGGTGTGAGAGAATTGGCAGTCTGCAAGGATGTTGCCCAGGGGACGCTGGGATGTTTTGATGTTTTATCATCCTTGAGGAAGACTTCTCTCATGTCCCCGCATGAGGAGCTGGAGCTGTTAGAGGGAGCTCATCCATGTTCTCCCCGGATTCGAACCTGCAACCTGTTGGTCTTCAGTCCTGCCAGCACAGGGGTTTAACCCTGGTCAAGTGGTCCCTGGTCAAATCCCTAGTCCCTGGTCAATTGGGCCCTGGACCCTGGTCACGTGGTCCCTAGTCCCTGGTCAAGTGGATCCTGGTCCCTAGTCAATGAGCCCTGGTCAAAGTGGTCCCTAGTCCCTGGTCAAGTGGTCCCTGGTCACTTTTCAATTCTTAGTCCCTGGTCAAGTGATCCCTGGTAAAAAAAAGTTGGGAACTACTGCTTCGGATTCTTCCAAGAAGAGTTTTCTAGCCTTTCTTCCGCCTTCCAAGAAACCGCTTGCAACAAAAGGGGAGGAAGGAGGGAGGGGGCGAAAAAAGGCCAACTCTTGAATGAATCGCACCGTCTCTTTGAAAAGGATTAAGCCACCGCGAATTAAATGAAAGGCGGGTATAAATAGCCCTGGAGCACGTGCCCACTCCTCCTCCTCTTCCTCTGCCTTCGGAAGCCTGAATGAGTGTGCACGTGGCGGCGCCGCCCCGCTTGAAGCCCCCCCCCTCCCGTCTCCGCTCCCCTTTTAGGCTCTTAATCAGAGCGAGTAATCAAGCGGCTTCCTGGGCTTAAACCGCCGGGGACAGATAATCCCGGGCCAAGCTGTCCTACAGAGAAGGGAGTGTGTGTATGCCTTCGGAGAGAGGGAAGCCAATGGGATTCCTCCCCCGCTCTCTCCCCCTCTTTTGGCCCGCTCCATCCTCGCCTCGTGAATGGCGCGAAAGGGAGCGAGCGAGACCATCAATGGCGGGAGGGGTGTGTGAAGGGGAGGTTACCCCTGGCCGGAGGCGCCTCTTCCTCCCTCCTGCCGCAGGTCCAGCTAAGAGGCTTACCTCGAGGCAGATGGGGACGGGCTCCCAGGCCGCTTGGAGGGCGAGGGAGGGGGAGGGGAGAAGGAGAGAGTGTGAAGGGCGAGGGTGGGGAGGAGGAGGAGGAGGAGGAAGTGGGGGTGGGGGGAGGAGAAAGGAGGGAGAGGAAAGGGAAGAGTGAGGAAGGGTCCCAAGAGGAGGGGAGCGGGGAGGGGAGAGGAGGGGGCCAGGAGGAGCAGTCAGGAGAGAAAGCTCTCCCTCCCTCCCTCCCTGCCTGCCTCCCTGCCTGAACTCCGCCTCTGCTCGACGCCAGGATTTCCCGCCCGGACGAGTGGCGACTGCCCCGCGGAGCCTCAGTGCCAGGCGCGCCTCCTCTCTCTCTCTCTCTCTCTCTCTCTCTCTCTCTCTGAGCCGAGGCTGGGCTCGTGTCTTCGGGCTCGGGGGCCCCCCATGCGCCTGCCTCCCCTCGGGCGGGGGCCATGGCCAAGCTGCGGGTGGCCTACGAGTACACGGAGGCGGAGGACAAGAGCATCCGCCTGGGCTTGTTCCTCATCGTCTCCGGCATCGTCTCGCTCTTCATCCTGGGCTTCTGCTGGCTGAACCCGGCGCTGCAGGACCTGCAAGGCAAGGCGGCCAACTGCACGGTGCTCTCCGTGGCGCAGATCGGGGAGTCCTTCGAGTGCACCTTCACCTGCGGCGCGGACTGCAAGGGCACCTCGCTCTACCCCTGCCTCCAGGTCTACGTCAACAACTCCGAGTCCCACGCCCGCGCCCTCCTCCACCAGGACGAGCACCAGCTCCTCGCCAACCCCAAGGTGAGGAGGCCCTCGGGGCATCTGCACCGCGCCGCGCCTCGCAAACCCACTCTCGGACCAACGCTACAGCTCCGCGCAGAGGGATCCTGGGATGGGTTGTTGTGGGTTTCCCGGGCTGTATGGCCATCTCCTGGAAGCATTCTCTCCTGATGTTTCTCCTGCATCAGAGGTTAAGAGGAAGACAAAGTGCAGCTGGGATGGGTTGTTGTGAGTTTTCCGGGCTGTATGGCCATGTTCCACAAGCATTATC